ATTTGTGCACTAGAAATTAAATTTCATGCTTATTCAAAAAATTTTTAGTTATTTTACTTTGCTTATATTCAGATTGCGCTTTCTAGTAATTAATGAAAAATTTATCTAATTTTTTTGTTAGTAATACGACGTGTCAAGTTGTAATGTATCATTTGGTAATCATAATTCAACTAAAGATGAACTTCTTTCAGCACATAATTTCTTCATAAATAATCACAATAGCTATCAATTTTCAAATAATTACTCCAATTTATTTAAAATTGTTCAAAATGGATGTTTGCATGATTGCAATAAACAATTTTATTTAAAATGTTACTTTTTAAGCATAAATATTTATGAAACGAAACTTTGAGTAATTAAACTTCTCACGTAATTTACGAATTCTTTCATTCGTTTTTGCATTTCAGTTTCATAGAGCCGTACTCGTCCTTCCAACATGCCTGCTTGAGACGCTTGTGAATCTTCCTGAATATGAAGCATATTAACTGCTCCTCGCTCATTTTCCATTATCTGGAGCCAAAGTTGTTAATAGCTAAATAGAGCAGTTTTTTACTAATACTTGATGAACTTTGCTTCACTTCAGATTCATAAAACATCACAAACCTTTCAGAGCTTGAAAATGTTTCACAATTTATTTTTATTAAATTATAATTAAACTATTTAAAAAGATTATTTTCAGTTTTTTTTTCATAAAAATAGTACTCGACGTGAGGTGCTTGTTTGCGTTTGATTTACTACAAACGATGGTGGCGTAATATCATCTTTTATAATCTTTTTTAGCATTCGACCTGCAAAAGAATCTTGAATATTTCAGTTATGAATTAAATTCAAAAAATTTCATACTTTTTAAAAAGTATATATTAAAAAATAATCTTTTTAAATAGTTTAATTACTAAAAAAATTTTTGATATAACATACTAAAATTTTGAAAGTTAAGCACATATTTCTTTCTGTTTTCAAAAATAACTCGGCAAATATTAGAAGTCATTATTTATGCGTAGTACTATAACAATAAATAAATTTTTTCCGTAAGGTCAGATTATTACTTTTCACAGCAAAATATTTCGATCACTTACGTTCAGCTAAAAAACGTTTTGCTTGAATTTGCCCTCTAGCCTGCCTTGTTTCTAAATTATTGCTAAAAGTTAGATGAAAATATTCAAAAAAAAAAGAAAAATATTTGATTTTAGATTTTTCTTTGCTATTTATATTTGGTGTTCGAAGATTACTTTTGATTCCAAGACTATGTTTAAAGTGAATCCTTTACGGAAAAATTTTGAAGATGACAAATTTACAAATTAGATTATCAAACTTGAAAGTGATAGTCAACTTTGTTGCAAAGTATCGTACTTGCTTTTTTCCTCGAACTGCTGCTTAAATTAATTGCAGGAAAGACAAGTGAATGATTTGAAAAAATGGCAGTTTGAATTTCAGTTTGTTCTCTTAGCGAAAAATGAGAAATTTCTTTTTTTTAAGGTGAAAAACTTTACAAATTTCCTTTCTTAATTACAAAATTGTACCAAATAATTTCAATAAAAAAAGCAATCTTCGATAATTTTGATTTTTTTTTCGGTTTCTCACTTATTACTTTTACTTAAAATTGTGTCAAAGGTCATAAAACAACCTGGTAGAAGGACTCTCAGCGGCTTCTGTTTCTTCACGTGCCTAAAAAATTTCACATTCGTATTTGTAATATTCAATCATTTTGCATTTTATAAATTTTCAAACTACTACTGAAACTTTTTGCTTTATAAATGACTCAAAAAGAAATAATATCAGAATTATAAATGTAACTTACAGTTGCAGAAGGAGTTGATGGCATTTTGTCAGAAGTTGATACCTCAGTATTTGTTACATTTAAGCGTTGTTCGGAATATGCAACACTTTTGCTTTGATTAATTTGCATAAATTGATCTCTCCTTAAAATTGTCCAAATATAAAGCTTTACTAACTTCAATATAAGACTATTTTCTTATTTTTAAAAATTTAATCATAATCTAGCATGAAAATACCCAACAAAAGTTTAAAATTTTGCAATAACTGTTCAAAAATTAGTTTTACTTAAATATCAGTCTTATTTGACTATTATTTTTCAGCTATAGATTAGATTTAATAAAGAAACTTTATTATTTCATTCATTTTATTAAAATTTTATCAGCCAAAATAATTATTGTTTGCTATAATAACATGTATAATGTTGACATCAATATGTAAATTAAGTAAAGCAAAATGCATCCTAAAAAATTACTGTAGAAAATGCATGAGTTTATATTTGAAAGAGCATTCTCGCATAGTATCTTATCATCAAACACAAAGTGATTAGACTTTTAAATTTGAACTAAATTACATTTTTTATCCAAGTTCTTACCTGCGGATATTTTCATCAGCGAATGTTTGTAATGGTTGTGACAATTCTTCACTTTGCTACAAAAATGTACAATCTTTTTATTAAATTTTCAGATTTTATGCTAATTAGTTACTGTAGCTGATCATTTTATCGTATTTCACATTGCTATTACAGTTTTCAATAAAGGTCTGTATTTAATGAAATTTGAAATAAATAAAATGAAATTTTAAGAAATTGAAGCCTTTTCTCTGTTTGCTCGATGTCGGCAGCTTTGCCTTTTGCATTGAATCCTTCGGCAGGAATCAGCAAGAGGTTTTTCTGATGAACGATTCTGAAATTTTTGTCACAAGCACACAGAGATTATTTAGAAGCAAACAATTATAAAAATACTCTTAAAATGAAATTGAAGTTCCAATTTTTCTATCGCTTTATTTTTTGTTAGTTCACTAAATAGCAATATTAGATTCATTTAATATCTACTGATATTTCTGATCAGTAAAGCAGTTATTAATATTTAAATACACTCAAGAAATTTGTGAGATCCTTTCAACAAGTCAATCTTCTCATAATTATCCTCAAAACAATCTCTCTGAATTTACACAAAAAATAAAAAATTGAACACACATCTTCAAATCATGGATTCAACTTCATTTAATCTTTCTGATAATTTTTCTTTAAATTTTCGATGTGCAAATAATTTTGGAGCAGTAATATCCGATTCAAATATGATATAAGTCAATAAATCCACAAAAAATATGCAAATTAATTCATATGCACCTTCCTACTTTGTCTCATTAGCCCTCTCTTAAGCTGAGCGCACAACAAATAAAACAAACATAAAAATGAATCTATCAGCAATTTTCGTCTCCCTTTTATTCACTGCTTAATTGCAAAATTAAACAAATATTTATGAATTATCTAATCAATTTTAATAATTTAAAGTAATTAACTATTAACTTTATTTATTTACTTTTTTGGGGGTCAAATAAATTCAATTATGCAAATATCAAACTCGTATGAAATTTTTAACCAATTATTTGTACAATAATATTCTCGAAAAAAAAAATTAACACTCAGTTATTATTTACAAACGCTTAACACTTTTATGACTTTTTTCTAATTCAAATATAGCGAACAAAAGTTACTTACTTGTAAATTATTGACTTGATTTTTTTTCAATATATGAAAGTCTGGTAATCACTGAAATTAAATTTCAAACACATATATTTGTAAGATAATAATTGTTATCATAGACAAAATCAAAATCCCATTGTTTGTTACATATTCACTACAAAATTATTATTGTTTAGAAAAGATCAATCAGAATTTAATTAGTTTCATTGTGATATAGTTATCAGTATTATTAGTTTATAAGTAATTAGTATAGTACTAATAAATAATAATACTGATGATTTATAATACTGATAATCAATAATACTGATAACTAATAATACTGGTGATTAATAATAACAATGACATTTGTACTGAAGCAAACAATAATATACACAGTATCTCTATTTAAAATTGAGCATTTAAAAATATAATTAATACAAAAATTAATTTTATTGCATTGCAAAGCAAAAACAAAAATAAAATAAAATAGCTTACAATGTCATTGCGTAACAAATGAATTTTTTCTACTGTTGAAGTGACGATATTGTACAGAGATATCGAAGTTACACACATATATACATAGTATGCACATTTTTCTACATTATTTTTTTCATTTAACAACCTATTCTGTCGTCTTTCTAGTCATTTCTCACTTAAGATGATTAGATAGCAGTGATAGTTGTAGTTACAATAATCAAAGTGATATTAATAACATCAGACAGAATGATGCTATTTATCCACCTATATAAACACATTGATTCTTGTCAGTTGAACGAGTTTGTAATGTATGAGAAAGGTAGCCGATCTTACTTTCTAAGAATCTTAATTTTATTATGCCTATTTTATTATGTAATGTTCGTTATGGATAGTGATTGATTATAAATAGGTCAAATACGTTTGTTTTAACGTAATATGCGCCTTTATGAACTATATTTGTGCTTATTTATGGAATAAATAATCAATAAACTACATTGTTACGTGTAAATATGCGTATTAATAAACATGCATAATAAAGATATTTAAGTGATTATTCAAAAAAATATTTGTAAAACTAACAAATTACACTTTTTAGATCACAGTTTTTGTTTTGCATTGTAGAGAATTTAGAGAAGACAAAAACTTTTTCTTTTCTTTATCAAATAATGCGTTAAGATTATTTGCACAAAAGTTTTATCGAAAACTGTCATTGAATAATCGCAAAAATATTCATAACAGCTAGTTACTATACTTTGAGCATATTGTCTTTATTAAGAATTAGACAAGCAACGGCCTAAAGAAAGTTGAAAATAAGCATATTTACCCAGTTACTACTACTACAACTTGAAATTGTCAAAAAAGGAATATTTAATTTCGATATTACTTTTGCTATCACAAATATTGAACAGTGCTAACAAACTGATTGTAATGACAAAAATATCTGAATCAGAATTATAATATAATATACTTAGTCGGAATTATAGTATACTTAAATAAATAAAATAACTTCAACTCGACAATTTCGCCCGACAAAGTAATTTTGCTTTTTTTGTAAATTTTTTCTTTTTCCAAAACTTTTATATTTTCTTATTTTAATTTGAAAAGTAAATTTAGGAAAAAAAAGCATTAAATTGTTATATGCAACAATTTTTTGCTGTGTGAATAATCTGCACCTCAAAATGACCGATACAGTACTTTTTTTAACTTCCATCTAATTCATGTGATGAAGCATATTGCATTTAATGCTTCGATGCTGCGTGGAGCATGAAAATGCCTCATAATAATTTAAATAACAAAAGATATCTAAAAATATTTTTGTATTTTTCAGTAAGTCACAAGTTCAAAAAGTATTATTTACAATAAAATGAGCCATTCACAATAATGGGAAAGCAAGGTTTGATCCAAGTCATCAAAAATGAAATTATGGTAAGTATTCTTTTAATTTATCAATTTATTTTTATATATTAGTTATCAATACATAATTATATTTAAATATACATCTTTATATATTAATTATCAATACACAATTTTTATATATTAATTATCAATATATAATTATTAAAGAGCTTGTAAATAAAATTGCTAAAGACAAAAAATGATTCGTGCAAGCAGTTATTAAATCATGAAATTTCGCTACTTTTGTGTTTAATTGTTAAGAAATTTCATTTATGCAAAGTTGACAACAACACTTAATTTCCAAAAAAGTAATTTTATTTTATGAATTATACAAAATTAATAACTAAAAAAGATAACACATCGAAATTATTACTATTGTTGGCAGGAAGATATCAATGGCTGTCGTCGCGCTCAAAAAAGTTCAAGCAAATTATTCTTGAAGAAAGATGAGATGGATATTGTCGCATCAGTGATCGCTCCTTCCGCTGCAAGTGTGAATTCTACAACAGCACCACAAATATTAGCATTCAAAGGTTTGTTCAATTGCTCAACCAAACGTCATATTTTATTGTGCAAATTACTTTTACAGAAAAACTTACCAAAGAAAACTATTTAAATTTTACGTTGATAGAATTTTTTATTGGAATTACTTATAAAATATAAAGTAATTTTAATTTTGTACAAAATTATGACCTAATTCATATGATTAGATGAAGAAATTGTAACATATTGTCACAGTTTCTTAGCACTGCAAATTTCTTTTTCTAAATAATATATTTTTAGTAAAATATTCACTCTAAAGAGAAAAATAAACGAAAACACAAATACTAGTGTGAGATATATCTCAATGCTTGTAATTTATGTAAAATGCTTGCTGTAAGCTCAAAATTTAGGCCAGGCAGAAAATGTATTACGTGGAATGGATCCATCAGACGATTTACCGTTAATGTGTACTAAAAAGTGTATACCGTGTCATCGTTGTGGCTCGTCTATGAAGTTCTTCATGCGCCGAGTAAAATACTTAAATACTGTAAAAGTATGTCTAGCAACTATTAATAAATAATTTAATGAATTTTTTTTAAAAATAAATTTTAACAAGTTCAATATATCTTTTTTATAACTATTGTTATAACAAAATTTTTATTTTATTGACAAATATTCTGTTCTTTCATTTACCTCCGCGTGCTTTCATGTAATTTTTTTAAACAATTTTGTTAGGAATATCCAGCTTATCGTTGTATGAAAAAGAAATGCCAAACGTTTCGATCTCCACGTACATTAGCACGTGAGTGTAATATGCTATTACGCCAAGGTTTTGGTGACGGAAGATTGATGAGCGTTACACCAACTACCAATGCAACTCGACAACTTAAAGTAATGCAATTCAAGTATATTTGAAAAGTTCGAAATTAGGTGAAGTTCAGAAAATCTTATAAAACTAATTGAAAATGTTTATTTATTTTAGGAGGCATTTCCAGATCATTTTAATAAGCAAGAAATTGATAATCTACAACGATTTCCCATAAATTTCAAGGATGACTACGATGGTGGGTTTAGCGGGAACTTAAACTTTGAATTTTTTAGTGTAACATATTTATTTTTGATATTTATTTAACTAGCAAAATATTTTTTTAAGAGATTGGCAATTCATAATGACGAAGAATTTCCAACAATTGAAATGATTATTTGTTTGATTGGGCAATTAGACATTATTAATTATGATTATAAATAGCCTGATCAAAAATAATTACAGTTTCAATGAATTCTGAAGATATTTCATTAATTTTTGCTATTAGAGTAAGTCAACGATTGTTGCAAAGTATAAAAACTGCTTTCTGTTTGTCTATAATTGGTTTTTTTTTGTGTTCACATAATTATAACAAGGGTATAATATCAACTAAATAAATTAGCTTTCACTGATGGATTATTAATTTTTGAAATTAGGTAAGAACTTCAAATCAATAATTATTTATTCATTTGTTTAAACAAATAATTAATTAATTTGTCAATTATTTGAGCTTTCCCATATGATCAAACTCTGTTAGCTCATACAACTAACAGCAGCGCTGTTCGTGAGAGAGAAGCTTGGTACGCTTTAAAAAATGCTAAAAGATCATTAGATCTTCTCGCGCAGGCCGGTGATGGACTTTCATTACGGTTATTTCGTGTCATTGGCGATATCCACAGTATGGCAGTTCATTTCAGAGAGTTTGTAAACAGAGATGGTAAGTGAAAAGAAATTTTTTGATATTCTAATAACTGTTTTATTGCAAATTTTTGAGGATATATTGAAATTCATCGATGTTTACATTGTCTAACTGTATCTTTGAAAGTTTACTGAAGGTTAATTTTTTTTCAGCTATTAAGGTCAGACAAGATAAAGTTCAAATCAAATTGATTATAATTATAGAACCAATAAATGGCATATTATCATGCAGTGATAGAGTGATGGAAACAAGCGTAATGCATGAAGCTGAAGAAGAAAGTTATGATAGGTCATTCTCAATGAAACGATCCAGTGAAACAAATGATTTTGCTTCACAAGCACAAGGAGGAGATTCGAGATCATCGTTTGATACAGAACTGAAATCTGATACAAGCAGTGTTGACACATCCATTTCAATGAAGTTAATAATTACTGCAATAAGTATTAAATATTTTTAAATCATATCTAACTTATTTTGATTTTATTTTAATTAACTATGAAAGATTATCAAATTTTTTACATACTTTTATAAGAAATGCTTAATCAGTTTTCTTTTACTACAAAAAATATCCTAAATTGGCTTATATTTTGTTCAGTGCATACTTATGTTCCAAATACTACTTGCACCACTTACCTCTTTTCTTTATTTTTCATAATCATATATCTTACGTGAGGTCATTAATCATGACCTAATAGCAAATTTATAGAATGCCATCATCTGCATCAGTTTTATCTCCAAACATAACGCAAGTTCAACCATTACGTTGGATCAACATATCCCGTCATTCACCGTCTTTTAGCGTGAAAATGGTGGACAGTAATGGTAGCAGTTAACATATTCATCATTTTGTTTTGTTAATTACGTACTAAATTTTATTTAGCAACAAACATTAATATTGGAAAGTTTTAATTTCTTATTCAAAATAACTTTATTGTTATTAAAAGAATAAAATAATAAAGTTTGATCTACAGAAAAAGTGTACAGTACATGTTCAGTAACAAGACGAACAGCTGATCAAGAAAAGCATACGGTCGCTGAGCAAGCAGGCACTGCTGTCTATGAATCTTATTCGGTACTGTACAGTGAATTCAAAGTATCCAAAATTTTGATGAACTTCATAAAATTTGTAAGCATAAATTTCGGCGGAAAAACGAAAAATATACAGATTGAAATTCTTTCAAAGTGATAAAGAGAAAACCATTATGATAGACTTAATAAAAGAAATCCTGACTGCAAATCCAAAAAATTTTGTAAAATTAATTTATTAATCGAAAACAAACAGTGTCACTAAATGAAATACAATTTATGTTATTTAACTTTGATAGTATTTGTTATATTCAATACTGTAAATGAACAAAAAACGCTTGAAAGACAATTACTGTCAAACTTTTGTTACCGAAAAAATATTCAGAAATTGCATAAGTAAACTACGGAAACAGTCTGTCACTGTAATTTTATCAGCTAACGGTAAAACAATAAATACAAAAATAATACGGCTGCTTTCAATTCTAATTAATATTAAAATTAACATTTTAAGTTTTTATATATTTTATTCAGAATGGTACAAATGGTAATAATACGCATGAAACTGCAATGTCGACCAACCACATTGCAAAGCAATCAGCATCAATCTCCAACGTTATGTATGATGAAGCATCAACAAGCTATAACTATACTGTAGCACCAGATATTTCTGTAAATTTGTTATATATTCATTTTGGTTATCTACAAAGTTTTCAAAAAGCAAGCATAATTCAAAAAAGATTAAATTATATTTTTAGTATTTTTTTTACAGAGCGATCACTCTGTATATAAAATTTCAAATAATTGTAATACTAAGAGTTTGCGTTAATTTACTTTCAAAGTACAAATAATCATGAAAATGCTTACTTTTACATTTTGTTATTCACAAGAAACAAACAAGTTGTATGCTTATTTACTTAGGAGACAATTCAGATTTTTTTCCATTAGTAAATAATCAAAAAATATTTTCCTGATTACTTTTAATGCCCACTTCATCACATATTAATAATGGGTTATTAATAAAGCATTCGCTTAATTTTTGAGATTACGGAATCAAATATACAAGGAAATACAAATGGCAATAATGTAGAAAGCAGAAAAAATGAAGAGCCAGTATCTATTTATGTACGGCCAAGTGAATTGTGCTTTGACGATGTCGCTGATGGAGGCGAAATACTTAGCGAATTTTTCATGCCTTCACCTTCAAATTTTCATGTGACAAAATGCGATACGAATTGCGATATTAATACAACTGTTTGTTTTTTTCTTGTCTTTTATTGTTGTCTTCATTCCAAATGGATTATTAATTACAATTTTATTTGAATAAATGAAGTAAATCTTTTATGAAAGTCTTGAAATTATGACTAAATATTTTACAAAAGTCTTTTTTATCAGCTCAACTGTAAAAAAACATTTTTGTTGTATTTGAGTAGTAAAATAAGTAAATCTTTTCAAGATACTTTTAAGAATGAACTAATTTTTTGACAAAAACCAATGAAATTATGAATTTTCAATATATTCAATACTTTTGGTTGCAATCAAAATTTAAATAAACAAATTTAAATAGAATTTTATTCGTGGATCGTCTTTGAATGCATATGATTTTGAAATAGTGAAAAAATAATAGTGATAAATAGTAATAATTTAACTGCATATTGATAGTATTTCGTTGTAATGGAAGTAATTTGCATATTTATTATTTTTGAATTCAGATGATCTCGCCATGTTCGAATATGCAACCAATAGTATCGTTTTCGCAGCCTTGGAGTTTTAGTTTTGCTTATGACAATAACAAAGAAACAAATTCTCACTCTCAAGGAGCAACAGCTACAATATGTAAATTTAATCCTTTATTTAAGTATTCAAATCATTTTTTAATTATCAAAATTTAAGTGATAATCACTTAGTGTTAAGAAAATTTGGTTAAAACTACTTGTAGCAGAAATAAATGAGTAATTTGCAATTATTCTAGAAAAATTTGTGTGCTTTTATTAATTGCATAAGATAATTTATAATTTAAAATTTATAGTTAAATAATTTATAATTAAAAAAAGAATTTTATCAGAGTTTTTAAGCATATTTTATCAAAAAACTTTTAAAATTGCTACGTAATATAAATAGAATATATTTCAGGTCCTCTATAAGTTACTACATAGCTTTTTATCAGTGATTTCTAAACAGTTTGGTGAATAGAAGAAGCTAAAGGACCAATGCAAGCAACTTCAATGCTTTTCTTATTAGCTAAAGATAATAGCTTTCATTTCCAATACGTGGTGATATTCATCATATTGAACCAAGAATACTTTATCATGTCCATAACGATAACAGTATTTTGTAACTTTTTTATATATTTCATGCCTTTTTGGCACATTTTCAAAATTTGCAAGCTATTTTTCACAAAATTTTCTGTTTTTAATTATTGTGTAAAATTAGCACATTCCGGTCATTCATTACATACTTTTGTCACTTAAAGTGTAAAATACGGGTTATTTTCAGTAGAGTTATTATTTTATTATCAGCAGTGAGTGATATTTTATCTGGTGAAAAATTTTTCAAGCCAACTTAAGGTCAATTTTGCTAATTATTAAAGTAAATATTTTGTTAAATTTTTACTTCTTGCACCTCAAATAAAGATAATTTGCTGATTTCAGCAAAATAAAATCCTTCAGAAAGTTATGAGCAAGCCAGGTTTTGCTTGTTTTTAACTGAATTAGTTTGAGAATAAAGTTGTAATACATTTTTTATAAACTGTGCTAAGCTATCCTTTGATATTGCATTCGTTGTATTTAAAACTGTATTTTTTTATTATGTTTTTGAGTTCAAATTTATGTTTTTTGTCTGCTCAAGTAAATTCATAACTTCACAAACTTCATACACAAGTACTAAATTAGGCAACAAAGGTTAGGATGACATTTGACCTCATGAAAAACAAAAAATGCTTAATAATGAAAATATTTGTCTTATGAAGCTGCAAAAAGTATTATTAAGCTGGAAATGCATAAAATAAGATGCAAAAGTGTCAATAGAAATAAAAAGGCTGTTTTTTGAAATTTTTTGATGAAATTTTCAGTTATAAATTTTGATATA